AAACAAATCGAGCCAAACTAAATAAGCAAACCACATATTGATAACTTTTGACGACGGTTGTAAACATCGTCAAAAGCCGTCAATATTTTTTCCCTGCGCTACCTACAAACGTCACCAAAAGTTCTTTGTTTTTTTTCCTATTTTGCTCATTTTTGTAGCTATCCAAATTAATTTAAATCACCTGCTTTACACCTAATTAATCATGTTTATCCATATAACTTTCTATTTGACAATATAAACATATATTAAAATATTATAAAAAACTTTAATACTTGCAATTAAACATTTATGTTTAAACAAAAAAGAAGATAAAATAACATCCAAAATGAAGGGATTTCCCGTTTGCATTCGTATTCTCCTCCCTACTTGTTACATATGCACAAGAAGACCCTCTACCAAATGCTGGTTCAATGTCTTACAAAAGACAACAATTTTCGCTAAAAGATTTGAAAGTATAAACATAATTTTTCTTGGTTGATATAAAATTAAATTTGGCTTATCTTACTAGGTTTGATGATAGAACAGCATGATGGGAATCAAAATCTCTAAGTGGAACATAAATGTTTTCCGACCCATGGCTCTGCACARAAAAACAGTGTATTCAAACATTCTTATCAATTAAATATTATGAACATAGGGTTCAAATAAAGAGGGTAAGAATAGATAGTTGAGATCATCAATTAAATCATGCTGGTTTTTTGCTCCAAATAATAATTCACATATAAAAAGCAAGAATAGTCGTGTGAGCATTTCTATAATTGACAAAACAGTGATTTTAGGTCCCAGATTGGTGAACTACCATAAAACTGTGAGATTCTATACAAAGCTGGAAGTGATGTTGTATCCCAACACTGAAACTAGTGGTTTTCTGAATTGCTGGATCAATGTGGTTCTCACTTCCACTAAAACATGAAATGCAAAATTTACAGCTCAATCCAACTTAATTCATGATATTGGGTACCATAAAATTCTCGTACAGAAACATGTCTTATGGTACTGATGCTTTGTGGGGTTGTGAAGCTTGACCTGACCCGACCCATTTCCATCCATCCCAAGTCCCCAACTGAATCTGGAACAGATTTTGGAAGGAGAAGTGGGCCAAGAAGGTTGGA